TGAAGGTCAAATGTTTATAGATTTTTAGCCACTGCCCAGGATTCTAACGCCTCTAATTCAATCATCCATACTCGATTTCTTGATATTTCCGTAATAATACTTTTTTAATGTAAGCCAAATAATTAAGAATTGAACTAATAGTTCTATGTTAGAAACTTTGATAACCTTGCCTATGTTCAAAAGATTCCAATAAACTTTAAAATTATTAAAAAACATTAAATAACAAATAATAATTAAGATGATAATTTATTAAATTATTAAAAAAAAGAAAAAGTAAACAATAGACGCTCCAAGCTCTCAAATGACATTGGGATTTTAAAAAGACAATTGGAAATTTAAAATTACTAAACAAGGAAATTAAAATTTTTTGTAATTAAAATCTCTTCCAAATTAAGCCATGAAATATAAAATCATATGTATGACAATGGAATAATTTATAGACATTGCTTTGAAAATTTTTCCATTAAACAAAGGAATTTTATATAAAACAAAGAGCACTTCAAATTATTATCTCGAAGATCAATCTCAAAGATCAATCTCGAAAATTAGCTATTAAAGGCTGTTGAATTTGAGTAATATATAAGTCAAAATCAAAATTAAGAGAACCATTCAAAATTTCAATTCAACTAAAAAAACTTCAAAACCTCCTAAAAACAAAACAAAAAATGTCAAAATTCTTTTTTGCCCTTGTAATTGTCACAATTGTTTTTATTCATTGTTGTGAAGCTGACGGAAAGAGAGGAAGTAGGACTTCAAACAAACACAAATCAAATCCTCAATCATCTCATAATAATCCTGTCAATGGTCATTAATTTAAATTCTTTAAAAAATAAAAAAATATTTAAAAAATTATTTTATTTTTTTACAAAATTTATTTAAAACAAAGTAATAAAAAATATATTATTACTGTAATACATATATTTTATATTTCTGATAACTTTTTTACATAACAAATTTAAATATTTTAGAAATCGGTGCGTCAAGATCTGAACAGATTCGTAAAGACGATTATTATAGTTTGTTTTGCCAAGTTTTATTTATTTAACCATTTATTTTTAGCGCGCCGCGATCAAGTAACGGTATGTTAAAAAGTGGGGGTTTACATACAAAGGAAAACGGTTCCTCCAAACCACTGTTTGAGTATTTTGAAATTTTTTTTTTGTGTTATCAGATTCTCTGGCCTTCTGTTTGAATTTTCAATTATAATAATAACTTAATAATTTAATTTTAAAATTAACAATTAATTTAAAGCCAGAAGAAAGTTTTATAACTGGTCGTTATAATGGTCATAAATGAATTGAATGATGTTGTGTACTCGGAAGATGATTAAAGAAAACTTGATTGAAAACAAAAATTATTTTTAAGAAACGATTTAAAAGAAAACTTGGTACTGTGTACCCACATGTCCTCAGATTTGATCCGTAAATTTTGTCTTTTCTTTAACCTTCCTTTTTCCTCCTCTCATAAAGAGGAGTTTGTAAATATTAAAACATTGTAAGTAAATATAAAACAATTTTTGAAAGTCTTAAACAATTTTAAAAAAATTTAAAATTCTGTCTAAAAATATAAAAATTTTGTCGAATGCCAACGTTGAGAATGCATGCAAATACTTCTAGTCGTAATAGATTACAGTGTTCCCATAAAAACTTTTATGTGTTTAAAGAGCTCTACTCACATGGAGGCCTAGATGACAAGATTTTTAAAAATGAATTTGTTTTAGAGTAAATTATATAATTCTATTTAATTCTACTAGGATTTCTAAAAATCAGTTTTAATATAAATTTTAATTTTGGGATAAAATTGGATAATACATAAATTTATTTTTTTTTCACAAATCTTTTAAAGTTTTTTCCTCGTGTCGACGCAGAAGACCCACAATGACAGAATACCCACAGACAAAAGACCCACAACTATTTTTTGTTTCCCTTTAATTGCGCATAAATTTTGGCGCGAGGAATGTTGTAGTTCTATTTGTTTTCCACAATACGAAATTGATCCAACAACGGGAAAGTTGCTTCAATATTAGGGATGTTCCAACTACCTAGAAAGTTGTTCAAACAGTCTGGGACGTTGTTCCAATGACAGGAAAGTTTGTTACAACAACTGGTATATTATCTTAACAATGGGGAATGTTCTTGCACCAATGGGTGTAGTTGTTCCAACGATGGGAATATTGTCACAATTACCGGGGAACTTATTTAACAAAGAGAGATTTGTTTATATTGAGAGACTTAATTTCCCGGATTTTTGTGATTTTGATCCGGAAAATCCGGTTCATATATAAAAAAAGGTTCATATATAAAAATAGTTAGAATCGAAAGGTATTTAGGATTAACTGGATTATAGCGAGAGTCAGTTAAGTCCACAAGGAGGGATATAGAAGTATTAGAAGCGATCAAGGGTATTGAAGATATGCAAAAATCGGGATATCTTTGGGATAGTAGAGATTAGTTAAGTAACATGAGTGATATTGGTGGACAAAAACAAAAACGGATTAGTGGTAAAGGCTTAGAAGGTTTACATCTCTTGAAATTTTATGACATATCCGTTTTACTGTTAAGAAAGATATAGTAGTATTCCTTCTTCTGGTTCCTGTTATACACAATTCAAGTATAAGAATAGATATTGGTAGATTCGAGATTTTACCCCTATATTCTCTATATCCCACGCTATTCCTACATATCCCAATTAATCACCCGACTTCAAATCGCTTTCTAATTTTATGATCTAAATCGCACTCATCCATATTTTACGCTAAAAATTTAATTAACTTTATAATAAATTTTTTTTATATTTTATGATTTTTTAATTTTGTGCCTTGAAAAATTGGAAATCTTTTGCAGAAATTTCAGAAAAATTTTTCTAAAGTTTTAGTTAAAAAATTTTCTTGTGGGTCTTTTGTCTGTGGGTCTCCTGTCCTTGTGGGTCTTCTGTCTGTGGGTCTTTTGTCTGTGGTTCTTCTGTCCTTGGGTCTTCTAGTCTGTGGGTCTTCTGTCACTACGCCTTTTTTTCCTGACTTATACCACTACATATTAGTAAAAAAAATGGCTTATATTTTAGGCTATTTTCCCATATGTATAATTTTTTAAGATAAATTTTGTCTAAATGTCAAATTTAAAGTTTTTTGCCTTAAGTATAATATTTATTTTTAAAAATTTATTTATTTTGCTGCCTTCTCTTCTCATCATTTAAAATTAATCTTTCAAGTTCATTTATTTTTAAAAAAGGCAATTTTTTCTGTCATTTATAAGAAACTGAACTAGTTCATTTTATATCATTCTTAATATTTTTTCGTAGGAGAATTATTTCAAATACATATATGTTTGTATTTTTATATTTTTCAAAATTTTTTATTTTAAAAAGAATTTCCAAGATTTCAATGAATAGTTAGAAAGTCTGTTATCTCAATCAGGGCTGCACGCATTTGTGGATTGCAAGTTGCGGATTGCGTAAACTGAGGGAGTTTTTGCAATTTCGAGTTGCGGAGTTTTAATAAAATTGCGAGTTGCGGATTTTTTCGAAATTACTCTCCCTCGTTTGTCGTTCTACCCTTACTCTCCCTCATTTGTTTTTACTCTCCCTCGTTTGTCGTTCTACTCCTCATTTGTCGTTCTATAACCTTAACTAATTTTTTGATAAAAATTGTAAGCTTTATTTATATGTATTCTGCAGGGGTGTGCCGAAACGGATTTTAAAAAGCGAAACGCGAAATGCGAAAAGCGAAATTAAATTTAAAAAGCGAAACGCGAAAAGCGAAAGTCATTTAAAAAAAGCGACACGCGAAATGCGAAAAGCGAAAGTCCAAAAAAGGCGAAAATCCGCGAAAAGCGAAATGCGAAAAGCGAAATTCTTAAAATTTTTCCGCAATCAGTGCTTTGTTGCAAATCAAAGCCTCAATTGAGTCTTACAATAGGATTTTGACGGGCATCAGGAATATCAAGAGATTTGAGGGTTAAATTCCGAAGTATTTATTCCGATGTATTCCGAAGGGTTAAATTCCGAAGTATATGGAGAATTTGCGTGATGGTGAATCTAGGGGAATATCTAGAGACAAACTTATGAAAAGGTTCTTCCATTTTTAGCGCCGCAGGCAAAAATTTTTTGAATTTTGGAAGTCCTTAAGCCAGATTTCTTCTCTTTTCTGCGCCGCAGGCGAAAATTTTGAGAATTTTGAGGAGACAAGAAGCCAGATTTCTTCCTTTTTTGCGCCGCAGGCGAAAATTTTGAGAATTTTGGAGGTTTTCAATTTATTCGGGCCTCATTTTTTCTCCAACTTTACCATCTTTCACCTGTCATTAGGGGTGTATAAAACTTTCGCATTTCGCGCAAAAAGCGAAAAGCGAAAAGCGAAAGTCATTCAAAAAAAGCGACACGCGAAAAGCGAAATGCGAAAGTCCAAAAAAGGCGAAAATCCGCGAAATGCGAAAAGCGAAACTCGCACACCCCTGGTATTCTGTACTAATTTTTAATTTTTCAATCTAGGATATTTTCCCATAAAATTTATTTTTTGAATAAAATAAATGTATAAAAAATCCCCCCTTCTAAATTCTTTTTTTAATCAATTAAACTTAATTTTTTCAGTGCATATTATTCTGAAAAGGTCAACATAACTCCTCTTCTCAACATAACCTCCTCTCAGTAAACTGCACTACACTCAATCTATTCACATATTTTATTGGAAAATTCTCTCTATTTATCAATTAAACATAAATATAAAACCAAAGTTTTATTCCTGAAAAGTTAAAATAGAAATAAAAAATACTTTTTCTACTTTAGGAATTTCAAATTTCTAAAATAATTTTTCCAAAATTTGAATTTTTTATCAAAAATTTGTTAGAACCCAAACTTAAATTTTTCATTTTTATTACTTCAAATCTCGATTAATTTTTCAATATTTTTGCATTTTATTTCTAACAATTCATTATTGGCATAAAATTTCAATTTTAATAAATTCTAAAAATTTATTAATGTATATTGTGTAAAATTTTTTATATTTTTAGTTCCAAAATATTAATTTTTTATAATTTTGACAACAAAAATAAAACAACATTTTATTAAAATTTTTGTAAAAAATGAAAATAGTTGTAAAATCAGAGGTACAAGAGGAAATGACTTCAACTTTTGACCAAAATGAACAAATGAATGATGTGAGGAATTATGTTTAAATCACATTCGGAATTTAAATTTTAGTCCGTTTCCCCCTTTTTCCTTCCTCGAGTATTAAATATGATCAGACTTTAAATTCGTTACCAGCTTTACTCATGGCTATAGGTACAAGTTCTGCTTTTTAGAACAAAGCCAAGAGTGTGCACCACTTTTTCTACTTGTAATAGGTTTCCCGTATCGTTATAGAGTATACTCAGCCGGAGTTATGATACACGCATAATTCCGGAACATTTGTTTTAAAAACAGAACTGGCAATTGTAGTTATCAGGGATCGCGCCGACCCGATTCACAATTCCCGAAAATCGTGAATTCCCGACGATTTTTGGCTCGTGAATTCACGATTCACGAAAATCGTGAATTCGAAATTTTCGGGAATTCATGATTCCCGAAAATCGGGAATTTGATTTTCTATCGGCGCGTTCCCTGGTAGTTATTAATAAGTTGTAACACATTTCAAGTCTGACTATTTCAATACTCTGAAGATTGAAAAATATGGGGGGGGGGCAACGAACTTAAATTTTAACAATTTAGAATTTGAATTCATTGCTGAAAAATGAAGATTGAGTTTTTAATCCCCGAATTTTCTTTGTCCCATAATTGTTTTTAAATTACTAAATTCTAATTAATTCAATTGTTCTTGTGGTATTTTAATCTATAACTCGTAGTTTTGCAAAATTATATTTACAATCTTCAAAATGCCAGGGGTTATCAAAGATCCGGGCCTAAACCTGGTTCAGCTTAAAACATAAATATAGTTTTAAATCTTAAATTCAAATACAGAGACATAGAGGGAAATAAGGGATTAATATTAGCCATAACCCTTTAAATCCTCTATAAAATTTAAAACAATTAAAAAAAATTTTTTATATGTTTATTTACAGGTATCTAGCGCTTTGACAACTTTTGGAAGCAATGACCTGTTGATGAACAATCCAACAATTGTTCGGTAGGCATAAATTTTATTTATTATAATCAAAAAATTAAATTTTAAGTTCTTGCTTACATTTTTCTTTGGTTAATTTCTATTTTTTAAAACCAGCCGATTTAAAAATCTTAAAAATTGATGTTTTATTTAATTACATTTATTTAATAGAAAATTCATTAATTGAAAATAATATTTGAAAAATCGGCTGGTTAATTCTCTGCATCAATCTAAAACTTTAAAATTTATTTAAAGTTTCTTTTAATTTCTTTTAATTATTATATCGGTAAAAATATATTTGATTTTTATTTTTTTATTTTTGATTATTTTTATTTTTTATTCTTCAATAATTATTTTATTCTTAAACTTTTTTCAATTTGAATTTTTCAGTTAACTTAGCCAATAATTTTACGATTTTTATAAACTCTTAATTCAATGAATCTTTTAAAACTTTTCTTAACTGAAGTAAAAAATTTTCTCTTTGAAATTATTTAAAGATTGTTTATACAATAATTTTGGTCTAATTATTTTTTAATTAAACTTAAACTTTGATTGACGCCCACCTTTTTTTCTATTCCCCTGATTATTTTGAACATTTTCCTTGATATATAATTTATTATAGTACAGGGTGCGGCAAATTAGCGGCCGCTTTTATTTTAGCTATAACTTTCTTCATTTTTAATGAAAACCGATAATTCTTTTTTTCCTAGATTCCCGACATTTTAGCAAAATTGTTGATACCAAATAGTAAAAATTTGGTTCACAGATTGCAAAGATAAACGGGTTCGAAATCTAGAAAATTAAAAAAAATTTTTCATGACAAAGTTTAGTTGATCATAACTTCGTTCAAAATAATTCAATCCGAGTGATTTTGGTACCGATCAACTCCTCTCGCTCAGGACCAAGATCATATCTTGGTCCATTTACGTGATAGACATCTGATTTTGACGTCATTTGAATCATAATGGAGAGCTGATTCGAATGATATATAAAATTCTCACATTAAAATAATAGCCTTGAATCCAGGCCAAATTTTATCCAAAAATTTTTGCTCGAAATTTAATAGAAAATTAATCAGACTTAATTATAAGATTTAAAGGAGATTTTGGTATCAACAATTTTGCTAAAGTATCAGGAATCCAGTAAAAAAAGAATTATCAATTTTCGTTTAAAATTAAAAAAGTTATAGCCAAAACAAAAGCGGCCACTAATTTGCCGCACCCTGTATATCAATCGAAAGAACTCTCCGGGCTGGGTCGAATAATAAAAGATCACTTTTTTCTAATGATGTACATATAATTTGCCATAAAAAGAGAAAAAGTTAGTAAAAATAAATAGGAAAGTGGGGCGCCAGCCAAAGTAACATTAAAATTCTAAATGTCCATTTATGAATAGAAAATTTCAAAAATTATATAAACAAATATATAACACTTTAATCTATCTAAAAACATTTAATTTATAATTTTTTGTTCTAATTTCAATTTTTTTGATTTTTTATATAAATATTACACCTGGGGCCTATATCAATTGTCCGCAGATTCTGCGGTCTGTGCCAGAGGTGGGTCGGAACATTCAAAGGTGTCGGAAATCGTGAAAGCCGGAAATTGGAACTGGCTCAAAAGTCGGAAATCGGAAATAATTTTTTTATTTTCAAAACTTAATATTTAAAATAGTTAGCGGTTAATTATGGTACCTATTTGAGTGTAATTTAAGCGAATAAAAATTCTTTTTGCAACTTCCACAGACAGCAGAATCTGCGAACAATTGATATAGGCCCCTGATAGCCGATGAGAGTTAAAATTTAGCTCCCAACTCTACCGTATACCTTTTCCTTTTTCTCTCTTTATTTTTTCGGCGCAAGGTGTCAATTCCATCCTTACAGTTATATGTTTTATTCCAAACTTGTTTTGTAGGAGTAGAGCCACGGGGTTCGGGTCTGGGTTTTTGCCAAAAAAATAGTCGGAAGACGGGAGAAGAAGAACTCTATTATAAATTCATTGATTTATAAATTTCCAAAATTTATCTAACAATTATTTGTTGCCAAAATTTCTAGTTTTGAATGACTACCTGATAATTCTTAATTTTTGAAATCGAACTTGTTATCTTTTTTAAGAATGCTGTAAATACTAATTTTGATCTGAAAGTATCTTTTTCTTTTCTTTTTTCTCATTCATTATAATATGTTAATGTTTTGGATACTATCGGTTATTAACCTGTACCCCTATTTTTCTGTTATTGCAGGTTTTTGACACTACTTTCGGTTACAGATTTTGTTTATTCCCCAATTTTGACTGAGCGAAGTGATTTTAATTGACCGGGAGAGTCCCTTCATATTTTATTTTATTAAACATTTTCGAAAAAATAATGGTAATAGTTTGTTTTATTCACCCTTTTTCCCTGAATCGCTTTGCGGTATCTGTTCTTTTTTATGCCAAATTATACAATACTATTGTTGTATGCAAAAAATCAACGAAATCTGACTTAAATCAACACTAGTACCGAAATAATTCTATACAATAACCTGTTTGGTTAACAGTTTTTTTTTACCCGCCTAGTATGTACCAGGGATCGCGCCGACCATAGAATTCAAAATTTTTGTGAATTCACAGAAGTCGATGTCAAAATCGTCACTTCGTCTAAAACAAACAAAATTCACAGAATTCCCGGAAATTTTTGGCTTGTGAATTCACATACAAGGAAATCCGAGATTTAAAATTTTCAGAATTCACGATTTCAGAAAATTGTGGATTTGGTTTTCTGTCTGCGTGATCCAAAGTATGTACATTAATCTTTTTTTTATTTAAAACCAGAAATTTTTGTATCTTAAAGGATGTAAAGGTAATTAAATTTCAAATTAAGCCTTCAGGAAATTGTCGGATAGTTTTGTTATTTTAAATTTCTTTTTTAATTAATCTATAATTCTTTTTGACTATTTATTTTTTGAGTCTATACAAAACAATTTTAATAATTTTCATTTCCGTTCCGCCTCTCTTGCAAAGTTTAATTGAATTTCATAAAAGTATGCTTAAAACTGAGGATTTTTATCAAGACGTAATATTTCTATTGATAATCATTATAGTAATCTTGCAGTTTATGACCCACTGATTTGTAGATTTCATTTTTATTGCGTTTCAACTTTTCTATCTATTATCACAATGTCCATTAAATTCAATATTCATATTTACAAACTAAAATTACATATTGTTTTTGAGTTGGGTCACCCAGAATATAGACACCCAGAATTCATCACCCTAAGTTGAATGATACAAAGTATCAAATCGCTCTTATATCGTACCGTAAGTATCGAAAACCATAAGGTGGGTCGGGATAGTCCGAGGTGTCGGAAATCGGAAGAGCCGAAAATCGGAACTGGCTCAAAAGTCGGAACTCGGAAATCGGAAATCAAAATTTTTTTCAGAAATCGGAATTCCTATCCACCTCTGTTCGGTCTTCATTAATATCCGCCCCACCCCTATTTGACAACACGGTGGTTCTTGACACGGGATTTCTTAATTGATCACTGAGGTGATCAATATCACTCTTGTTTGTCACTCTCTTTCTCACCCTCCCGATTGATCACTCATTCGATTTACGACTTCGAAATTTTGAAAAATATTTAGGATTTAGGTATTTTTGAACTTTTTCTGATTTTCTATACCAGATACTTTGGGTCATTCGAGGGTGTGGTACTCTGTTTGTCGATACTCTAGGGTCGGCTCTTTTTGATTTATTCTAAAATATTATAGTTCATTCTGTACGAGCACGCACGTCTACTATTTGGAAGGGACGAACTGGAGCGAATTTGAGGAAAAAATAAAAAAGGGAGATTGGGAATGAATTTTTGGCAAAATAAATATAATAATTTTTTAAATTTTTTCATAATTGTTATATTCGTATTAATATTTTTAATATTGAGGATTTATTCTAATAATTTTTATTGCTCAGGTCAGGATTAGTTCCTGGTTTTTTTGTAAGAGGAATACACTACAATAATAACAACACATTTGATTGGGAATTTTTATCAGCTATTTCAGTAAATTTTCGATTTAACTCTTCAAATTACTTAAATTTTGATTAAGATGCGGAGACCTGTTCTTCCTAATAATGAGAACGTAGGCGCTGTATTACAGCCTGTTGAGAATCAAGGACGACATAGACCTGATGCACCGACGAAAATATTGTCTGATACTGTGAATCAGCTTCGACAGGATTTAACGTTTTCTCGGGCACAATACAATGAGCTTTTCCAACTTCATCAGCAACATATGGCTGAGTCACGTGAACAGTCAGCTGCTAACAGAGAAGCATTGCGTGCTGCACTTGCTGATGCTGCAGAGAACAGAGAAGCATTGCGTGCTGCACTTGCTGATGCTGCAGAGAACAGAGAAGCATTGCGTGCTTCACGAGAAGCACTGCATGCGGCTCAAAATCAAATCGAACAATTACAAAATCTTTTACGACAAAACAATAGTACTTTTTGTATTAGAAATTAAGAAATAAAAAAGGAAATACTCATAAAAATTTTTTAAATAAAATTTTAAATATCAAAACTTGATAATAAATTAACAAGACTTTTCCTGAGGTTAATTATTCTCAAATTTTTAGTTTTGCCACCGAATAACTTGAATAATGGTATTTTGCATCATGGTGACCCAAATAATCTCGATGTTTATCTGGGTAATTTTTATTTTGAAATACCATATAATATTTTTGTATTAATGCCCTTTATTCTTGACACAATCGACTATAAATTTTTTAATTGTTTTTAAATTCAGGAAACGATGGAGTTCGTGGCGATGTTAATTATAATGAATTCGTTGTTCAGCAACCGAATAATCGAAATCAACGTCGGAATCTGAATCAAATTCAGAATGAGAATATGCTTCCAGGTCTCAGAAGATTTTGGTCTTAGTATTAACTAGAGGTCGGTAAAATCACATGTGCAGGATCCTGTAACAGGATTGGGTTTTAAAATTTATACCAAGGCAGGATCCCTCAGGATTAATCCTGAAAATCCTGAAAACTCAA